AGTGTCATGGGGGGCTGGGGAGGGAGCAAGGCACAAAGGAGGCGAGGGGGGGCGGGGGGCAGGGCAAGGACCAGGCCCTCCCCGGCTGGCAGAAGGAGCCGGGCGGCTGGCCTGGTGGTGCGGGCACATGCTTGTGACAAGGGAAGGGCAAAGAGGGGCACAAGGTGAAGTCAGGCGGGGGGAAGGACCACAGCTACGTTTTGCAGCAACTGGCCTGGCCCATCTCTCACAATCCCAGTGGGGGGGATGGATGGCAGCCCCCCATGTCAAGCCTCCTTCCTTTTTCTCCAGCCACGATGGGGACTCCAGGGGATGCCCTGCAAAGAAGCAGGGCTCCTCCCCAGAAAAATGGCTAACTTGGCGTGGCATAAAGGTGATTCTGCTGGCAACCCTCTCTTCTGGTCACACTGTTTAACCCGGGGAACTCCTGGCCGGAAGATGACAGCCAGGAGCAGAAGCGACTTTTAAGTGGGTGAGGCAACTTTGGGCAGGAGGAGACCCCTCCCCACAATCCGATGGAACCTCCATATGCAGAGATACTCCACCCCAGAAAATTCCAGCCACGAGCAGATAAAGCACGCTTTCCCCCTCCGTCAGTCCTGTGGACTAGGAGGAAGTTCACGGTGTGTGGGGGAAAGGGGAGCTTAAACAGTGGGGAGGGGGGACCTTGCCCTGTCCTGCCTGGAGTGGGGGAAGAGGGGGAGAAAGCAGCCAGACCAATTTCCAGCCTGGCTCTGCAGCCAATGGCAGCACCGTTCGCCCACTGATTGTAGTGACCCGTGTTAAATGTCCAGGCGACTGATCCCCGCACTTCTTTGCACCTGGTAATAAACAGCAGCATTAATGCAGCCTCTGCTCTTTGGAAATTGAAATTAATTAGGCTGATTCTCTCACTCACTGGGGTTTTTCCCTCTCTTCCCCCACTCCCCCCTTTTGCGGTGTGATCATTACCGTAATGAGATGAAAGTGCCTTGGCTGGTTAAATGGCTTTTTCCTTTTTTTTTTTTTTTAAGGGAGGAAAAGTCTTTCACAGGAAGAAGAAACAGCACGGCAAGGGCAAAGGAGGCAGACACCCTGCCCAGGGCTCTCCCGAGACACCTCCAGGCCTCCTGATCCGCTCGCTGTTGGGTGGGCCACCTCAGCAGGAGACCGGGGGGATGCTCCCGGGGCCAGTCCCGACCCCTTAAAGCAGAGCAGCCAAAGGCCCAGGACCGCCACACCAGCGTCCCCGTCGCGTGGCGGGAATCCAACCTAGGGCCGCAAACGTGAACTCTGAGTCCAGGTTATCGAACCGCAGGGACTGCGTTCCCTTAACCCGCTCTGCCCCCACATAAGCCCTGTTAGCGCTTGGCACGATGGCCCTTTAGTGTGACGTGCTAACCATGGCCGGGTTTCCTGCAACAACTCCCAACCCTGTTTCGGCCTAGACTAGCGGAGGGGTCTGCAGGGAGTTTTATTTATTTAAAAGATTTGTATGGCCATCCATCTTAGAGCCCAGCGCCGGGCAGCCTCACAACAACAGTAAAACCACGGAGCCATAAAAGCCATCAAAACAAAGACCAAAAACTCATCCTCCTGGGATGCCCCAAACCATCCCATCCATGCCTGGGGGAAGACCCAGGTCTTCATGGCCTTCCGAAGGCTGAAGGGGGGGGCTGCCAGATTGCATGGGGAAGAGTAAAAAAAGTCAAAATGGCGACCTCGGGCCCCCCTTTTTATGTGCATTGCCCCACCATCTTGACTTTTTTGACTCCTCCCTGCAGACTATGTTGTGCAAGCCGACCCTGGAGTGTTGCCCACTTGGAGAGGCTGCCCAATGGCAGGACTCTTGTGGCCAGAAGCTGGGCCAGCCCTACAACTGCAAAGACTTGGAAAAGTAGGGCAAAGTTTCAAAATAACATTACCATGGCTGTGGTCATGGTAAGTCCATTATTAACTTAACCATGGTTTAGTCAACCCAATGTTCTGCCTTTGTATGACCATGGAATCACCCAGGCTGCATTGTACAACCTGACAGGCAAAGACACGGTTGGCTAGTTTGTGGCACGGCCCATGACTACCAACCGAGGCTGGGATTGGGTCAGTGGGAGGCCCGGGAATTATCATCCCTTAAGCCAGCTCTGGCAGGCAGCAGCCAGGCCTAACAGGTCAAGACCTGTTTTCAGCCAGCCTGAATCCAGGGAACCAGGGACAAATCTAGCCCGGCTCCCTGGCACTTTGCAAAGACTGGTGTGACCAATGATTAAGGAACTGAGAGGCGGCTTTACTGCCACTCTGGAGCCCTTAATTAGAAGACACCACAACGCAGTAAATAAATGAATAAAAACCAGCAGGCTGATTCATAAAAATACATTAACAGGCCGATTGCCAAGACAGGCCATTCAAAGGAGGGGAGGAGGACAGGAAGGCGGGGGCAGGTGATCCTAAACATTCATTTCCTCTTCCCCATGCAGGGCATCACGAGTTTCAACTGCAGGATAAGCTGGGGAGGTTAAGGCTTACTTTCCCATGTGGTCATGAGGCTCAGCCTGACCCACCTCACTGTTGGGGAGAACACGGGGCAGGGGGCTGTATTTATGCTGCACTGAGTTTCTTGGAGGACACACAATCAGATTAAGATGTTACATGTTATGTTTCGAACTTCTTGTCCTTAACGCTATCTGTGATCGTTCCACAATCTCCAACCAGCGAGGGGGTTGTAGTCCTCCACATCTGGAAGGCAGAAATCAGTGGACATCCAGAGAGCCTGCTGGGCCAATGTGGGCATTCCAGGCCCTTCTCACATCAGCACCAGAAGCCGCCTCACTCCGAAGTCAGGCCCACTCTCTGCCAAGCCCGCTTCGGGTTTGTGCTCCCAGCCTGGCCTGCTCACCCCTCCAAACGAGGCGAGGGCAAGGATGTCCAAGTCCTGGAGGTATTATGCCACCGGAATCCCATCCTGGCATGTGTTGACAATCCTCCTCCCCCTAGTGACTATCTGCCACCAGAAACATTAAGACCTTCTTTTTCTGCTTTAATTGGCAGGAAGAGTTGGAGGCACGGGTTTGAACGGATGCAGCCTGCATTTCTCCCCTCTTTGGGTACCAAACAAAGCGCAGGGCAGGTGACTCTTCTAGCCTTTCACCCTGAGGTCCAGCCTTGGGTCACTTTTGCTGGGATCCCTGAGAGGGGCTTTCAGAAGCTCTGCAGCTCAGCTAGGGCCCACCACACCCCCATGCCCACACTGCCCGTCTCAACGGGAGCACGGGACGAAGGTACTCCGTCTCTCCTGATGGAACCCCGGGGTGAACTGTAGCCTGAGGCTCAGCACTGCCCCAAGAGCGCCAGGCTGCCATCCAAGTGCCACCCTGTTTAGTGCCTGGAGAACTTCAGAGCTGGTCAAGAGGCGAAGGGGCAGGAGAGAAGTGGCAGGGTCCCTTCTCCTCTCCCCCCAGCCCGGAGCCTCCCTGCCGGCCTCCTCACCGGCGCTGCTTCTTCTCCAGCTCGTGGTTGCGGCCCTGCTGCCCTTCCAGGTGCAGTTTGGTGTCCTGCAGCTCTGCCGTCAAGCGCTGGCACTTCTTCTTCAGGGTCTGCAGGGCCCGCTGGCTCTCCTCGCTGTCTGCCTGCAGGTCCGTGAGCTGCCAAGGGAAGAATTGGGGGGGGCGTCAGGAGGGGAGCATGGCCGGTCCAGACACCAACCCCACCCTCACACACAGCTGCAGGGGAAGGGGCCCTCCCAGCAGACAGCAGTCCTGTCCAAAGGCTCAAAGTGCCACCCAAATGCCAGAAGCTGTTACCTTTGTCACACAGCACCCGGCTCTTGTTGGGCGCCATCGCTCGGGAACACTCCTGTCCCACCAACGCTTGGCTGGAGCTCTGGGTGGGAGCATCCCAAGGGCCCCCAGAGGGGAACCGACACGGAGGAGGCATCTAGTGGCACCGAAGGGTGACCCCTTACCCGTCTCTCCAGCTGCCGCTTGCTCTGCTGCTCCACCTCCAACTTGTCTTCAAACTCCTGTTGCAAGCGCTTTTTGGTGAAGTCGATCTCCCGGGTGGCCCGCTCGTACTTCAGGCGCCACTCCCCGCCTGTGAGCAAGGGAAAGCCAATGGGCAGGACACCTCAGTTGATAGAGCATCTTCCCCCAAAAGCAAGTCCCTGTCCTGTAGGCCGGCCACCCGTTTCACCTGAGAGGGGGATGGCTGACCGGCTGGCTTCTGAAGTCCCCACTCTCATTCTCTAACAGGCCTCTCCAGACTGAGTGGGGCGGGCACAGAACCCTAAAGCCCCTTTTCCATCACTGAGCCCGGGTCCGACTCTGCAAGGGCCTGATAGTGAGGCCTGGAGCAATGGAGGAGGAAGGAGAGGAGAGAGCTGGCGGCGCAGCAGAGGAGCCAGGAGCTCACCTGTGTCGTCGTCATCCATCTCCCCGTTAAGCTCAGCAGCGCGGATCAGACGGGCCTCCATCACCTCCATCTCCATGGAGTCCATCTGCTTCTTGAGCGCATCGTACTTGGCCTGTTGGGGGAGGCAGGAGAGGGTCAGCAGGGCGGCCGCCCCAGCGCCATGGCTGCGAGCCAAAGAAGGGGTGCCTGTGGGCGGCTGCTGCGCAGGAGGAGCCTAGCCAAAGGCAGGATGGTGCTGACCACTGACCTGGGCCTGGGGAGGGGCTGAGGCTGGAAACTGCAAAGGGGCATCGGGCCCAGAGGCTGCTTTGTCAGGAGGATTTGCGTGTCTCGATTTTATCACCGCCTGGGCAGACGAGGGCTCCCCTCTGCATTCCCGAGCCCCAAATGCTGCTTCCTGGAGCAGACAGGGCAGCCTCAAGCAGAGCCAACCCAGAAATGCTATTTCTTGGCAGGAACCAGACAGCATGCCTCGCACCCACGCTGTTCGCTTTCTGGTGCCAGGCCAATGGCTTCTCATAAAACATTCTCCTGGGGCTTTTAAGGAATTCTTTTATACGGCTTCTCAACGCCGTTTGAAGATTGCCGTTTACTTTTTGGATGTGCTGCAGCTGGAACCACCACTGCCATCATCATCATCATCATCATCCTTAGACTTTCCGAAGGAGTGCTACAGCACAGTGTGAAAACCCCTGAATTAAGCCAGGCTTCCCCAATCTGGGAAAGGGGCTGGGAATTCTGGGGGTTGCAATCCCAGCACATCTGAGCTGGGGAAAGCTGATCACAAACAGAAAGGCAAACAAGAACTCCCAACAGGCTCGGCAGGCCAAAGAGCAACGCTAGCAGGAGATATTCCGGGGCGCTCGAAGGGTCACTTGTGGATCCAACCAACTTGGCTGACCTGGAGATCCTTCATCTCCTTCTCGGCCCGCAGGCGCTCCGCTGTCTCCGCGTCCAGAAGCTGGGAGGCCGACTCTCCCGTGTTCCTCTCGTCTGTCAGCTCCGATGTCAGCTCCGAGACCTGAGGGAGGGTAAGCCAACGTTGGCCAAAAGCCGGGGGCATGGAGGCCCACGCTGAGTTCCTTTCCCTCTTAGAGAACGCGCCGGAAAAAAATCCCAGATCAGGAGATCCACCAGACGGCCGCCCGCAACATCTGGCTCTGTGGAACGAGTCAGGGCGGAGACCCCACCACTGGCCTCAATGGTAGATTTGGTTCATGTGGAGATCTTGGCCAGCTGGACCTCATCCGTAAAGCTTTCCCCATGACTCCTCCTCTCCCCACTCTGCTCCAGAGGGAACTTCTGGACCAGCCCTTCCCCAGCCATTCCTTCTTTCCTCGTCCACACCTGCTTCTCTGCCTACCGGCTGCTTAGGCCAGTGTTCCTCAACCTTGGCCACTCGGAGACGTGTGGACTTCAACCCCCAGAATTCCCCAGCCAGCCATGGGGAGTTGAAG